AAAGATTCTTAAACACCTGATCCCAAGGACTGTGACTGATTCGGAAGCACCCTTTGAGATATGCTCGTGTCCTGCCGCCTGCTTTGTCACAACTCTGGGAGGCATGAATGACAAACTAAAAGTAACTGTTCTTAAAGGCAGTCTCTGGAAAGCAAAGACTAGAAGTGCTCTACCTCCATGAAACTGTTGGGGAGCCAGTGGGTCAGGAGATGGCGGCATGGAGAGCCCTCCTGAAGTACCTGCCCCACACTTGGAAGGGCTGCTGCGGCCCGCTCACATGGACGGGAGTTACTTCTGAGTAAGCACGTTCCCTACCACACTGGAGAAGTACTCACACAGCAGCCTCACTTTCATGAGAAAATCAGAGTAGCTAGGAGGATTCAAGGAAGCTGGTGGCGTAAGGCAGCACCAGGAATGTGTCTGCCCAACTACACGACCACTGTACAGGCAGAATCTGTCTGACGTAACTATTTTGGAACTCTGGAGTTTACTGAAGGCTGGCAACCTCCAGCGGAAGGCCTGCATGGTAAACCGCGGTTAACTTAGGTCACTTCCAGCTCTGAGCGCAAGAGCGGCTAGCTAGCCGTCTGAGTAGATGACAACCATTTCGTATATCCTGACCCTCCTGTACAATCTTTAGAAATAATCTGGACTCTTTATACTGCCTCAGTAAATATTAATATTTTATCTTTACTGTATCTATTTCATTGGTGAAAAGCCAAGTATTGAGAGGTTAAGGAATTTCCCCAAGGTCACACAGCAGGCCTAATCCTGGTTCTCTCACTAGCACTGTATTTCAGCAACTCTGAGATGCACATTTTTCATAGTTTAACATCTCAGAAATCAGGATCCATTTTACAACTGATGACATGTCATAGTTTCACTGGCAACGTATTACATTTTTCTTAGTAATATATAAAACAAGTGTCTTACAATTAGCATCTGAAATCCGCTGAGACACAGTCTTCCCTGGGCAAAGGCCCAGCAGGCAGTAACACAGGTTGCTCAGCATGCGGCGTGATGTCGGAGTCCACACGCCCTCCCAGCCCCTCCCCTACAGCCCTCCGCGCTTATTTTACACAGCTCGGATGGCTGCCAAGCCCACAGCAGATTAAAAGCAGTGAAGACCTAAAAAGAGCTGAGAGAAGCTGGGGCTCGACAGCCAGAAAAAGGCAGCTGTGGAGGACTGCCAGGACCACAGCTGGAAGAGTGGTCCCAAAACCAGGTTGTAGTAGGAAGTGAAATAAAATGATCTGGGGGTAGATCTGGTGATACTGGGTCAAAACAGGTTTATTGGCTGCAGTACTTTCCAGCATTAGAAAAATCTGATGTAAAAATAACAGCTCTACAGTGGACGGGTCAGGCTAACTTGCTATCACTTTCTTGGTCTAATGTACCAAATTTCACCTTTTGAACCACAACAGCCACCAATCTCATAAAATACTTACTACTCCTTTAGAAAGATAGTTATTGACAAAGTCCTTCCAAGTAATTTCTCTCCCAGAGCTCTTGAACAGGAAGTAAAACATGATTCCTCCCCAAAACAGGGCAGTCCAGAGAAAGTACATCCTGAAATCCTTGTCGTCCCATGGAATGTCACCCTGAGCAGAGAGGGAGACATTTCTGTGAAGAATGAAATCCCACAATTGGTAGTATCCTCCCAATACTACCAACACCTCCCAACTCTTCCCAGGGCCACCGTCGTAATGTCGAATTAACACGGTGTGGAATCGAACCTTCTGGAACCTGGACCACCAGTGAGAATCGTCTTTCTTGCCACCTCGTTTTCCACCACCTCCTCCTCCTGAAGAGTGTGGGGCAGCAGCTGGTTTTGATTCTGTTCATAAACAAAAAGCATACACAACAGCGTTGCAGGGTTTTATATCTCTCAGCAGTGTTTTCACTGATACAGTTTACTAAAAGATTTATTTCAAAATACATTATGGCAACTGACCAGTCACCAAATAAAACACCCTGAGAAAGAACACTAATACAAAGTGTTAATATCTGAGGAGGCTGGCAAGTGCTTCACCTGCATCGTCTCATGAAATACGCACAATATAGGCCGGGCGCGGTGGCTCAC